TATAAATCAAATACTGCTTTGTCTTTCCTTGAACTGTACCATGGCTGTGATTGCAGGAAGGTCATCACCAAAGAAAAGTGGTCAATAAATAAACAGTGTAAATATTTACTTTCTTTTAGATGTTCTGCTAGTTTTACACTTGTTGGTCTTAAAGACTGGCAGTCTAAGATGACATATAGTGCTGGATGTGTATAAAAGGAATCACTTGGAGCATCTCACTGACAACTTTGTTTGGAGGATGAAAGCAAAACTGCTCAGCTCTGCTTGGTTTTGAGTCTTTCCCCTTTCTTCCTCTCATTTGACTTCTGTATCTAAAACTACGTTTCCAAGTGACCTTTGGAGAAGATCTATTTTATGTCTTTTAACTGTTCGTTTCAACGTCAGCCCTTCTGGCCTAGAGTGGGTGGGAAGGGCTGTACTAGCCCGTTTGCACACAAGGCAAAGGAGTTATCTTGGAGAGCCCATTGTCCATGGCGGTGCTCCTTCCCCTCCCTCAGCTCCCGCTGGAGCGGCCGAGCGCCCGGAGCGGCCTGGACGCCGCGGCCCTGCGAGGGGCTCCCAGGACGGTTGCTATCGGCTCTGGCTCCTGCTATCTGCAGTGGTGTTGAAAACTGCTCTTCCCGCACCAAGCTGTGCTGTTTTCATCACCCGGAAAACAAGGTGCTTGTTCTTTGCTGACAAGAGGCTTTTGGATTATTGTCTGGCTGTAGGTGGCCTCAAATTGTGCCATTAGAGAGAAACTGCTGCTTTTCCGGGCTTAAAATGCTTGAGTCTGCTGTTTTAGTGCAAGAACCAGTAATTGTTTTACTTTGCTTATTAAATTGTCTGTCCCTGGTAATTTGCAAGTTTTGAATGATTTATGAACAAATATGTATTGGTTTTGTGTGTCTGCTGTTAAGAATGGTCATGCTTATACATTCGGGTGATAGTCATTGCCCACTAATTGTGATTCGTTCTTCTCTTGGTTTTGGTTTAATTTTTTTCATCTGCCACAGAAGCACTGTCATTGAAAATCTTTTAATGTGTTCAGATTTATGTGTAAACATAGACGAGAGAAGGGAAATCAGCGGGGGCGTGCAGTGAGTCAGAGCATAAAGAGGAGCCCATTTTGAAGGCAATCGTTTTGCCCTTTGGTTGATGAGCGATTTTTTGCAAGTTGCTGAACTCCCTAAACACTTATTGATCTAATAGCAGTTAACACCTTGCCCGAGCATGATGAATTTCGGTGTCAGTTCACCCGAGGTATTTAAGTATATTTTTAAATCTGTGTCTCTTCAGAGCACAGTCACATGAGCACAGTCAAAGGGAAGTTTGATCAAAGCAGATGTTTGTTTGTGCTGAATTATGTCCTTAGATAAATTGCCCAAAGTCACTGACACTGAGGGAATGTGATTTGGGAAATTACTTAAACAACATCCTTCCTTAAGCAACATCTTTTTTATATATTATTATTATTAATAAAGTTTCTACAAAAGGAAGAAATAATTCTGATGTTGACAATGAATCACCTCTTCCACTGTGTGCATGTGGCAGTTCTTTGTTCATTTGTTTTATGGTAAAGTCACTAGAATTAAACATTCTACTTCAAAAACAGCTGAAATATTTAAACCTGTTACAGATTTTTAAGGCTTCTTTTTATTTAATGAAGGCAAACAAGAGTTGGAATTATTACAAATGTCATCGGGCTCAGGTTTTCTTGGGAGGATTTTATGAGAGGAACGAGGTTTGAAGTAGCTCGTACTTTCACAAGCCTGCTTTTCTGCTTAGGAACAGAAATAAAAGCACAGTTCTTCCCAGCCTAGGAGCTGACACGAGCGAGGCTCTGCGGTGGAGCCCTCCCGTGGGCCTGGGGGCGCCTCTGGCGCCATGTGGGGCACCGGGCGCCTCGTGTGGGGAGCGCGCGGGCGCCTCGC